AACTAGGCTCGTACAAAACTCTTTCCTCACCCCATCGTTCCTGCACACATCGTAGACACTCACCACCTCTCTCACAACGCATGTGCAAGCCTGCCCAATGGTCCGCATACAAGGCAAACTCATCGGCAACCTCACGTGGCGACATTGGATGACATGCTTCAGCCTTAGTTGCAGCATGCAGCATGACATGATGAAAGTGAATGCCCAAACGCTGAACCACCCCACTCCCCTCGCTGTATCCCATCGTCGTACCCACCATCCTCTCATGGCCGTTTTTTAGCCCTTCTCTGTTGCCATCTTTTATGACGTCCCTCAATCGCGTTCCCCAGTGACTCGTCTTGTTGTATGACTACCGTCTCTATAGGCTCACTCCCATGTTGCCTAGGGGCCATCTCTCTGCCCGTGCCTTCATCACCTGAATAAGACAAACAATCGCTTCAAAATGGGTGTTATGCGCAACACACTTGCAATCAGATTAGGCAGAAATTGCAGATTCACCAAGCGGCATTACCTGTGTATCCACAATGTCAACAGAGGGGAACTCGCTACACGAAAAAAACCCGGCCGACCCCCGACTGTATTCGTTGCAAATGCTCTCTCGTACGGCATGTGTAGGATGCGGATCGAAGTAAAAAGTATCAATATCCACCCACTTGCTGTCCAGCACCCGAGCAACATCTTCTATCCACCCACTTCTCTCTCTCTCTCTCTCTCTCTCTCTCTCTCTCTCTCTCTCTCTCTCTCTCTCTCTCTCTCTCTCTCTCTCTCTCTCTCTCTCTCTCCTTCCCCACCCCCCTTTGGCTCGATCTCCACTTCAGCCTCCCCTTCGTGCCCCGAGACCCGTTGTCGCTTGGGCGGACGTTGTGTCTCTTTCGTCCTTAATGTTAGGACCTTCCGCATTTCCATGAATACCCACTTGGCTGGTGCCTTGGCCGTTTCATCAAACTTGATCGTCCCCAGTATTTTGCAAACCTTTTTTTTCGAGGAAGTTGCAGTCATCCATCCAAGACCCCCTTCGCTCGTTGCCAACCACTCCCACAAATCATTTTGTGTTAATTGCCACAAAGCGGAGCAAGTCCTGGCCTAAGAAACCTTCATTGGGTTACGCTGTGCCTCTACGAAATCCTTCACACACAACCTCACTAGTGCTCGCCATTTATGTCAGGTGTCCATCTGATGGTTCAGACCTTTTCCCTTTAACATTTTCTTGAACGACCCGCCATCGTTCGAAATGATGCCCGTAAATTTGAACCCTTGGCAAGCCCGGTTTGAAATGCTATCTCCTCTAACTTAGTAGACGACACCCCTGCCTCAGTTTTTGAAATCGTGACACTCAACAGTATCTTCCGTGACTGTGGGTCCATAAACGTAATAGTACACCATTGCCCCTCTCTAGCCTGTGACCACCCACCATCCACGCCTATGTATCCAATTCCGTCACTATCTCGCAATTGCATGTCCCATGTGACTCTTGCCATGCAAACCTCACCATGTACTATGATGGCTTCCCACAACCCGAAGGGACGCCGCATGTACCAATAGAAAGTCTCTCTTCCAATAAATTTGAATCCTAGGATTTGGCTAACCTCTGGCATCTGCTGCAAGCCAAGTCCCGCCATAACGAAAGCCAAAAAAAAAAAAAAAAACGAGGTAGTAAAAAACTAGTCTTAGAACCCTGTTTGTTGGGCTTCCTTGTGACTTTACCCCGCTTGGTAGACCATAATTTCCACGGACTTTGAGCATGTATCACATACCCACAAGATCTCAAAGGTTACCCATGTCACCTTTCATGACCGCAGCTGCATCGATCCCTTGCATGCGACTCGTTGACAGCATATTACCCCGAGACTCGTGAAAAACTGAAGCAAAACAAGAGGGTCTAACAAGCATACCGCTCCTTTGAGCGCTGTTGCGGCGGAAGCTGGCGACAACCGCCAGATGCGTGACAATATTTCTGAAATTGTTGAGCCAGGGCTCTTTGCAATTGGGTTCTAATGGGGAAGAAACGGGAATAGGAAGAGGTTTACTAACACGATTTAGCGATACAATGGGATGTATGGTGGGGCCGAATTAGGTTGCATCCCAAACTCATGCTGTGAATCGCACACTGAAAAAGCTATATAATACATGATAGCACGATTACGTACTCGTCAAGCTGCGCTTAGACGATCGCAGGAATTACTAATGACCTTGTTTTATCCCCCCCATAAGGACCCGCGTTCGAAGTGCCTTCCCCTCCTTCAACCTCGGTTCGTTCCTCCACCAACTGGCTAACCTCTTGAGCCCCTTCTTGGATCTGGCCCTAGTCTAGGTCACCTTCTTCACACAACCTGTCCCCCTCAATGGACTGTTGTTCGGCCCTTAGAGCACCTCCACTTCCCTCTCCCCCCTGTCCCGTCACGTCTTCCTCTTGCGCCTCCACAACCTCAATATTGACCCTCGTATTCGCTGAACCCCCAATTGGCAAATCTCGTTCTTCATACACTGGAGCTTCTCTCTTGACATGCATGGTGTTGTTTGCTTGTGCAACAATGTGGGGTGAAGGATAAACATAATCATGACACTTGCGAGTGTTGAACGCATAGTGGTGATCCCACCTTATCCTATCTTGGGGAAAGACAGTCAACATGATGGCACGTAACAATACTCTAATATGATGTGCGGTTGGGTTGATGTTCGCGGTGGTTACTCGTATGTACAGTGGTGCGTACCTCCATCCCGCAAAGCTCAATATGCCGCCCCACGGAGGTCCCCTCCATGGTCATGGCACTTATCCAGAACCACCACACCCTTTGAGTTCAGATGATATGTGTCGAACTGGTACATGTAGTGGCTTGTAGAAAGTGGTGTCCGTTCGAGCAAGTGTGGCACGACTGTCTTCTCCCCCACTTGGCTCAGCAAGAAACATGATCGCTGAGCATCTAGGTTCAGTTGGACTTGGTCCTTCACCGCCGTTGCATTCTCACCTACCAGGCAAAAGGAAAGTAGATCAAATAAGCATAACGGTTGATTGATGAACACTATCAGCGACCTATTCTTGTATGCATAACATGTTTTGTCCCCAAGTCTATGTAGGTTGGGGAACGGGGGGTCTAGCGGGCACATCTAATCGACCACCGATCGATGGTGGGGAGCGGTCAACGATGGAGAGCAGTGAGGGTGTGATAATGGAGTGTGTTGCATATGGTAGCAGTGCAAGTAATAAGTTTGGTCGATGGGTGGTGTACGTGAGGTTGGGGAAAGGAGGGTTACGGTAGAGTTGGGTTAGATTAGCCGCAAAGGATTGGAGGGATGGCTTTGAACGGTACCATAGGCATGCGCTTACATGAATCAATTGCTGCATTGATCAGCTTGTTGACGACATCGGGTGATGAAGTCGCGAGAACGTGCATTAAGTCGTTGAACGACGCCTCCCTCCCCAATCACTTCGAGAGACCATATCGCATGATTGCAACAGGTAGGTTCGCGTGTTTCCCTATGCTAACCATCTTCTGGGGGTGCTTTTCCATAATGGCATTCAGATGTTTCTCCATGTCTCCGCTCACACCGTTGTGCCCACTCCCCATGCTGACGTTAGTGGCTCCACGCACCTGAGACGTCACAATGAAAAGGCGATACTTGCACATGCTGAGTTAGTAGTCTATTCCCCCCAGCTAGCAAACTCTCACCACTACCGCACTAGTTCCCTCGATTCCCCCCAACTAGCAACTCTCACACTAGCGACTAGTTCCCTCTACTCCCCACTGCTAGCAACCTCTCACTCTCACTGCATCATTTCCCTTTGTTCCCACCTCCCCGCAACATCTCAACCCAAACTATCACAACTCCACTCTATTCCCTCCAACTAGCAAAGAGAACCGCAAAGATCGCTGAGGAGGCATGTGCCATGGCTCCGTTAACGAGCGGGGATTCAAAGATAGACGACACCTTGGCATCTTCTGGTTACCACCCGGTTACCATGTAGCTGACCTCTTGGCTTCTACCACACTGCACCTTACCGAGCTAGCAACCACATGGTTACCAGGTTCACGACATCTAAACGAACGTATGTACAGCTCGGTTAGCCTCGTGATTCTGGAGTCTGAGACGAGCATCTTGTGGTTACGCCAGGTTACGTGGTTACCACGTGTTTACCAGCTTGCCACCACACAGCACACCAAAGACCCATAACCAATGTACATCTCGGTCAGCCTCTTGACTTTAGAGATAGAGCTTGGCTGACTCAAGCTGAGCAAGTTGAATTCGAGATTGCTGTTGCAACAGGAGCGAGCATGGTTTGGGAGGGTGAAGAGGGATGGTGAGGGTGTGGGAGGGCGGAAAATCTGAAGGCCGCGAACCCAATGTGGACCGGTTAACCAGAAAATTATTAGTTGTTGTTTGTGTTTATACTCGGAACTCAACAGATTGCCTTATCTCCATGCCCATCTTTGAATGTGATAGCGATGAGGAAGAGTTCTTCACACTAAACCTCAAATATATACACTGAGAAGGATGACTAGGAACGCACTGGTGCTCACACCAATTAGCAATTGGGATGGTAATTCACATGGAAACATTTAGTGCGTACCCAAAACAGCCAGTTAAAGTACGAGACTTCTAAAAACACACGTGACTCTGATACGGCCAGGGTGTGCTGGCAGGTTGAGATGTGACACACACCCATGATACAGTCACATGTAATACAGTCACGTACAGTCACGTTCGCAACAGTCACGTGCGAACACACGTTAGGTTGAGGTGTAGCCTGGCCTTACTATAGGGTCGATCCAAAAAAAAAATCACAGTTGACTCAAAAGTGACAATAGTCGACTCATAAGTCACAACAGTCGACTCCAAAAGTCACAACAGCCAGATTTGGAACATCTCAATTAAAACAGGGTGTACATTTATCTGGCTGAGCCGTGGGATTGCTGTTAGGAGGGGGACAAAGACCGGCAGGGGGGTGATGTGGGAGAGAGGAACAGATAGCAGCTTCCCGACATCAAAGGCAGAGACCTTGTTCAAGATAGATCACTGTGGGCGTGAGGATAGAGAGAGGAGAGGGGGGAATAGGGAAGGGAGAAAGGGCGAGTGATGAACTTTGAGGCGCCCAAAAAAGTTTTGTGGGGGGGAGAGGGAGCCGGAGATCTGGTGGCGAGAGATAGCATTGCGGGAGTGGGAAGAGAGATAGAGAGAAGATGGGCAAAGGGTGGGGTGTTGAGAGGGAGATGGGCAAACAATGGGGTGGGGAGAGGGAGACGGGCAAACGGTGGGGGGGGGGGAGAAGGAGATGGGCTCACGGTGGAGTCGGGAGAGGTATATGGGCAGAAGGTGGGGTGGGGTGTGGTGGATGGGCAAAGGGTGGGGTGGGGAGAGGGAGACTCGCAAACGGTGGGGTTGGGGAGAGGGAGATGGGCAAAGGGTGGGATGGGGAGAGGTATATGGGCAAACTGGTTGGGTGGGGAGAGGTATTTAGGCAGAAGATGGGGTGGGAATTGGTGGATGGCAAAAGGGTGGGGTGGGGAGAGGGAGATGGGCAAAGTGTGGGGTGGCGAGAGGGTGATGGGAAAAGGGTGGGGAGGGGACAGGGAGATGGGCAAACGGTGGGGGGGTAAGAAGGAGATGGGCTCACGGTGGGGTGGGGAGAGGGAGATGGGCAAACGGTGGGGGGGGAGAAGGAGATGGGCTCACGGTGGGGTGGGGAGAGGTATATGGGCAGAAGGTGGGGTGGGGTGTCGTGGATGGGCAAAGGGTGGGGTGGGGAGAGGGAGACTCGCAAACGGTGGGGTTGGGGAGAGGGAGATGGGCAAAGGGTGGGATGGGGAGAGGTATATGGGCAAACCGGTGGGGTGGAGAGAGGTATATGGGAAGAAGGTGGGGTGGGAACTGGTGGATGGGCAAAGGGTGGGGTGGGGAGAGGTATATGGGCAGAAGGTGGGGTGGGGTGTGGTGGATGGGCAAAGGGTGGGGTGGGGAGAGGGAGACACGCAAACGGTGGGGTGGGGAGAGGGAGATGGGCAAAGGGTGGCGTGGGGAGATGGAGATGGGCAAACGGTAGGAAGGGGGAGAAGGAGATGGGCTCACTGTTGGGTGGGGAGAGGTACATGGGCAAACGGTGGGGTGGGGAGTGGTGGATGGGCAAAGGGTGGGGTGGGGAGAGCGAATTGGGCAAACGGTGGGGTGGGGAGAGGTATATGGGCAAACGGTGGAGTGGGGAGTGGTGGATGGGCGGAATAGCTGACGCATAGGGAGGTGTGCTAGATCAATAAGGGCCGAAATGTGGGGAACCAGAGGGGAAATGAGGGAAGGAGAGGGCGAACTGGGTGGAAGGTTGTGCGAAATGGAGGGGTAAACGAGAGAAGACCCAGGGAAGCAGGAGAGAATGTGAGGACAACCCGGGAATAAATGAGGGCTTGCCGGAAGGGCGTGGCGGGAAGGGAAGACGGCATGGCGGGAATGGGAGGACGGGTGTCTGGACGGGGAGAGGGCGTGACGGGAAGGGGAGAAGGCGTGGCGGGAATGGGAGGACGGGTGTTTGGACGGGGAGAGGGCGTGACAGGAGGGGAAGAAGGCGTGGTGGAAAGGGGAAAAGGGGAGGCGGGACTGGAAAATCAGGCGGCGGGGGGGGGGGGGAGGGGGGTTGGGCAGCGAAACTAGGAGATCGGGCGGCGAAGGGGAAAGGTGGGACTGGGAGTTCGTGCGGCCTGTGCAGCGTGTCAAGATTAGAAGCTAGAATGATTGCTTGAAAGGATTGTGGGTACAGTCTACCCCACTATAGCCTACACAAAACTAGCACATATATAGTTTGACACAACCCCCATAGGCAAAGTGGGGGAGAACAAGCGGTCACAAGACCAGTCAAGCAGAGCAAAGCAAGCTCAAGGTGGATCACAACGTCACCACACACTTCGAGCACAAGCAAAGGGCCACAAGGCCAGTTCACATGCAGAGGAATATATGCAACAACAACTGTACAGTGATCACTACCTAGCAGGAGTAGGCATGCAGGTATACAATATAGATCACAGTACAAGCACAGTCAAGAGGTGAGCAAGTGAGGCCACGTAGGCACAAGTCCTAGCACAGTACAGAGCCGCTGATGATCACAAGGCTGAAGAGCCTTGGTGAAGATATCAGCGGTGTTGGCCCGAGATGCCACGTAAGCAAGGCGAAGGTGTCCACGCTGCTGCAACTCTCGAGCAAGGAAGTAACGCAGAGCGATGTGCTTCGTCATGTGCTCCAGTCTGTGCTCCTGACACAAGGCAATCATGGCCTTGTTATCGACGTTAAGAACTGGAGGAGAACGAGGCGGCTCTCCCAAGTCGGGCAGCAGGTAGGTGAGCCAGCGGACTACTCCTATTCCACCTCCAGCCTCTGGCCTGCAGACAGAAGGAGGCACAGCAACAAGACCAGCAGCTGAGTCTACCGAGACTCCCGCGAAACAAGCGACAGGCTTCGATCCAAGTATGATGGAGAAATTCTTCTCCTTTATGTCCTTCTACTAACAGCATCAGCAAGCGGCACCTGCGCAGTCAAACATCAGCAACAACAACAACGATGTTACACCCATGAGTCTCGATGGCTCATCCTATGCGCGCGGAAACCAGCAGCAACCCACCTTTGCTCCGTATGAGCCTGAACGTGGCTCAATTAGCTTCATGCCGCAACAACAGCCTCGACCTGGATAGGAGAAGACATTGGATGCACTCCAAGTTCAATCGCAGTTCGCGCACGTCTTGAAATTATAGACGTCAACACCTTTCGACGACAAAGACTTCTATACCTGGTCGTTCGAGTTTGAACTGATGATGGAAGGCGCGCAGATTCTTGGATTCTTCGACGGGTCCCTTCCATACCCAACACACGGGACGCAATACGACAAGCAACAGTACACATATCAGTCGATGATGGCATACACAATCCTGCCGAGGAACGTAACTCCAAACCAGCAGCAGAAAATCCGGTCTTATCGGGGATACGGCAACTCCGCTGAACTCGCGTACAATCACTTGAAGAACCTGTATCAAGCAACAGACAGCGTCAATCAGAGTCGGTTAATGGCACAGCTGACAACAATGGAAATGAAACCCGGCAAAAAGGGGATGGCATATATCAGCCGTTGTCGCGAATTGCGCGACAAACTTCTTCGATGCGGAGGATCGATATCTGAGGAAGCCTTTGTCACGATCGTCATCTCCGGTCTTGGTCCTCATTGGCGCTCCACCCGAGCCATACTCCGAGCTCACGGGAAAATCTCCGAAGCGGCACTCTGCGCCGAGATACACGCTGAACAACAAGACATGGATCTGCACGAGGAGCGACACAAGAAGAAAGCGTCAGTACCCGAGTTTGCATTTCACACCCAACGACGCGTCAACAACTCCAACCGACAGAATAAACAACAACAGTAACAGCACGCACCACCGTTCTGTCATCTCTGCAAAACATCTGGGCATCCTCGCACACACTGCCCAAATCGACAATAGTCAACACCACCGCAATGACAACTCCGGCCTTCAAGCAGCCAAGTCGCCCCAACACAAGCTCATCCCACTCCTCAAGCTCAAGGAACGTCAACAACACAACCTGCACAAGGGACAAGAAACATCATGAGCTGCATGGCGAGATTGACAGACTCCTGCATCAGTGAATCACCACCGTACTACTCACCAGAAGAACAACTCGATGAGAGTACCCCTCGCCGCGAATCATTGCAACCGAACCCGACGTACGCAGCCATCGCCCAAAGCGAGCCGTCTGGGAAAGACACTTGGTTCCTGGACAGTTGCTGCGGACAGCATATGTGCTTCTCGGTTCACTTCGTTCAACGGGAACACCAACTTCAGCGCGAAGTCGTCATCACCGTCGCCAACAATCAGAACCTGCGCACACGACGACAAGGCATCGTTCAACTTCAGTCAAGAGAAAGCAACGTCATACTTCAAATGTCAAAGGTTCTAATCGCGGAGGGACTCGGCTACAACTTACTTAGCGTCAGCCAGCTGATGGCGAAGGGGATCCACCTTGAAGCAGACAGCACCACTCAGGAGTTCAATTTGTACCACGGGTAAGGAGGACTCTACATCGGGAAGGCGGTGTCGAAGAACAACGTCTTCGTTCTCGACTTCGTCCCAGACCTAGGCACCGCCGACAGCGACGCCATCGTCAATGTCACTTCTTGGACACACCCACCAGATCTCGACCCCGGCTTCATCCCCGGCGGCTTCTGGTACTCAAACACCGTACCTGAGGCAGAAAGAACACGAGCATTAGCAACAATTTAACAAGCAGAGATAACATCGGCAGCAGCAGAGACAACATCGGCAGCAGCAGAGAGAACATCGGCAGCAGCAGAGTCAACATCAGCAGCAGCAGAGACAACATCGGTAGCAGCAGAGATAACACCAATCACGACGCCAGTCACGGTCCTTCAACAGCACCAGCCCCAATCGACGACACTCCACCGACTCTTGCGCAGCAACTGACTCCTACTCCGCGCGAAGTCCACAGAAGCGCCAACTTCACCGCCGGTTTTTACTCCAACTCCGACTTGTACAGGCGCTCACCCGGACATCGCGCCGGCGAAGACATCTAGCACGCAAGAATGGGACACCCGAGCAACACAACGTTAAATAACACGATACGAGCAGGAGTACTTGATAAAGACTCGCTACTTCTACCCGACGGCAGAGAACTTCAACGAGTTCGAGGAACATGCCTCACCTGCCCTGAAGCTGACCCGCATCAACCTTTCGTCTCTCATCACAACCCAAGTGCACCGTCATACGCACCTTTAGAGAAGGTGTACAGCGACATCTTGTACAACCGTGAACCAGGTCAAGGAGCATACAACTATGTCATCACCTTCATCGACGTCTGGCTTCCAGTAGCAGAACGGGAATCAGAAGTGACGCTGAAAAGTTTCCAGTCAGACTGGGGAGGGGAATATACGTCACAGAGGTTCACGCAGTACTTGGCAGAGAGAGGCATCAAGCGAGTTCTCTCTCTTCCCTACGCTCACCAACAGCAAGGCATGGCAGAAAGAATGAACAAGACCCTCCAGAACACCATGCGCAAGCTGCTACGTGGCATGCGGCTACCCAACCACCTGTGGCCTGAGGCGATGGACCATGCTGTCATGCTGCACAACTTGCTCATAATGCGTGTCTCTTGCAGGATTTGCAGGCAATGGGGTGTGCAACCGCAGGCCAGGCACAGGTGCTGGAGCTCCCATACCTCATCGCCAGGTTCGGGGAAAGGCTCGGGAACTACGTCTGGAGGGCTGTGATAGGGCTGGATGAAACACCAGGTGTGCCGTCCGCACCCTTTTTTCCCCTTTCACTCATTTCTGTGAGGCAAGATGGATTTGCTGGTGCACTTTGTGCTTCCTCTTGCATTCCCCTGCCCGTGTGCTGTGCTGTGCTGATCTGTGTCTCGCACACCGCATGCCCTTTTCCTCGATTGCCCACCCACCCATCTCCATTCCGTTCCCCTCCATCGCCCACCCATCCGTCCCCATTCCCTTCCCAACCCTCATCGCGGGGTGCAGTGGAGGAAAAGGGTGTGCCCAAGTCCATGCTTGCAGCCAAGTCCTTCAATGCCACGTCATCGTGGGATGACATCTGGTAATTCCACGTCAGCATGGGATGGCATTTGGTGATTCCACGTCATTACGAAGTGAGGGGTGTGAGAGCCTGTGGTCAGTAAGGCCACATAATATTCGGTAAGGCCTTTCTTCTTTATGGAGATTATTATTGCCCTCCCCTCCTTACCATGTGGGCTCCCCGACATGATAAGGATACCCCTTTCTTCGTTCCCTTCCCCTCCTTTGTGTCTTCTCACCCACTTGACTTCTTCCCTCTCCTTTCTGGTTTCTTCTCTCCCTCCCCCCCCCCCCCCCCCCCCCCCCCCCCCGCTTTTCCCCCCTGTGGCAGTCGCTGGATGGTCATCCTGGCTCAGGAGCTGTCCTTCCTATGATCTACCTCACCCACTTTACTTCCCCCCGTCTCCGTTCTGGTTCCTCCCCCTTCTCCTCCACCGCTTTCCCTCCCTGTGACAGTCGCTGGATGACCATTCTCGCTCAGGAGCTCTCTCTTCGCATGCTCAAGGACGCAAAGGACAACAAACGCCGCCCGCGCTCCCTGCACCTGCACTATAGGGGCGGCAGTGACGGTGGCGGCGGCAGTGGTGGGTGGGGAGGAGGGGGAGGAGGGGAGAAGTCACGGTCTTGTGGCATGCCCCGAGACATTGAGAGGGTGATTGAGGAGTTTGTGGACCGATGGTGCAGGGAAGGGGGAAAGGAGGTGGGGGGGAAGGGGTTGGAGGAGCGGAGGTTGGAGGGCAGTGGAGGAGGGGAAGGAGGAGGGGGGTGAGGAGGTTGAGGAGAAGAGTGGGGAGGAGGCGAGGCATGAGAAGGAGGCAGTGGGCGGGGGAGCACCCTCAATAAGCACATGTGTGGAAGAAGGGGCGGGGCTGGGGGCCCAACAAGATGTGGGTGTGGAAAGCGGTTTAAAGGATGTGGGTGTGGGTGCGGGTATGGGAGAGGACGAGTGTGAAGGGGAGGGGGGGTGGATGGAGGAGGAGAGGCAGAAGCTGCAGGCGCTGCTTTGCGCTGCCAGCCTCACTCTGTTGGCAGGGGGGTCCAGTCAACCGAGTCAACAGGGTCAACCAAGTCAACAGGGTCAACCAAGTCAACAGGGTCAACCAAGTCAACAGGGTCAACCGCAGTCCAGTAAGCAGCACCAAGACCAGGAGGCCAACAATCCCTCCACCAATCCCTCAACGCGCCAGTCCAGCAGTCACCCTCTCCCCACTCACCCTCCCCGGCCCCTCTCGTGGGCGTGGGCGCCCTGCTCTCGCCTGGCCCTGTCAGCCTCAAGATTCGAGCAGCTGAGAGTGAAGAGTCGGAGTGACAGCAACATGTCAACGCGCCAGTCCAGCAGTCGCCCTCCCCCCTCCCACCGCTCTCGGCCCCTCTCATGGGCGTGGGCGCCCTGCTCTCGCCTGGCCCTGTCAGCTTCGGGATTCGAGCAGCTGAGAGTGAAGGTGGGTTGGAGAAGGTGAGAGTGAAAGTGGGTTGGAGAAGGTGAGAGTGAAGGTGAGTTGGAGAAGGTGAGAGTGAAGGTGGGTTGGAGAAGGTGAGAGTGAAGGTGGGTTGGAGAAGGTGAGAGTGAAGGTGGGTTGGAGAAGGTGACAGTGAAGGTGGGTTGGAGAAGGGAGAGTGAAGGTGGGTTGGAGAAGGTGAGAGCGAAGGTGGGTTGGAGAAGGTGAGAGTGAAGGTGGGTTGGAGAAGGTAGAGAGCGAAGGTGGGTTTGAGAAGGTGAGAGTGAAGGTGGGTTTGAGAAGGTGAGAGTGAAGGTGGGTTTGAGAAGCAGATAGGCACCGCACCTCCCAAGTGGTCACCCTCCCTGCTTGCTCATAGCCATACATGAGTAAACTGTTTCCAGTTTCACCCCGAAGCAAACTATTTTAAAACGTTCAGCGCTCTCGATTGCGTCTTATTATAATTCGTCCCAATCTGTATCTTCTTTCCATCCCATGCACCCCGCACGCACACACACACATACACACACACACACACACACACACACACACGCACGCACGTACGCACGCACGCACGCACGCACGCACGCACGCACGCGCATACGCACGAATACCAGGGCATGCAATCCATCGATCAGATGTTCTCCCGTCGAACAGCACGCTCAGCTGCTGCCATCATCGCTCCCGAACAACGCATCACCGCATCTGCTGTGGACAGGAAAATTGGGCAACACAAAAATGTTGCGGGTGTTCGGCTGCATGGTACAGTACCGACCCACAGCTGCACGAGCTGGCCGATTCTCCCAACGGGCACAGTGGGGACTACACCTGGGCATCGAGAAACACTACAACGCATGGAAAATTTTTGACATCAACACCAAGGAAACAGTGGCAGCACGTGACGTGATTTTCTACAAACGACTCACACTCCCGACATACCTTGCCAACCTGGAAGAAGAACGAGACCCCACAGGTGGCTTTCATGGAGACCGAGCCTTCGCTTCGCTAGAAGACGAAGCTGACTGGGACGACACCCCATAGACGGAGCTTCGGAAGAAGCCGGACCTCTTCCCTACTGTTCGGTAGACATCCCAATGGATGACGACAACCCTCGCGAAAGCATCAACGCCGAATTCTTCTACGACTTCGCTGACATTGGTTACGTTACACCTGCACGAGTCAACACCAACGAAGCAGAATGCATAGGACCCAATTTCACACCTCATCCAGAAGCAGGAGACGAAGCGTTTTATCCCGAGGACGCAAATCTCCCCCGCTATACACAGAGTGGACTCCAGATACTCGGGCTCGTCACCGCAGTCCACGGCACGGCACCACCTAAGGAGCCTGCCACGGTTCAGCAGGCTCTGGGGTAGCACAGGGAAAAATGGCGCGAAGCCATGGACAAGGAGTTAAAAGCGCTGGAAGAGCGCTGGAAAATTGTTCCCATCGGCGTGGCACGCAACAAGACAATCCTCACCGGGAAATGGGTTTTCCTTGTGATAACCAAAGCAGACGGCACCATCGACAAATTCAAGGCGCGCTGGGTCGTACGCGGCTTCGACCAAGAGCACGGACGGGACTTCACCGAAACGTTCGCGCCGGTCAGCCGACACACCTCTCTGCGGATTCTCCTCGCGATAGCCGCCATGAAGAAGAAGAAACTACGCCAAATCGACGTCGCCAACGCCTTTCTCTACGCACCCGTCGATGCTGAAATCTTCGCCGAGCAACCACACGGCTCCAACGCAGACCCCAACCAAGTTTGTCAGCTACTGAAGTCCCTGTACGGCATCAAACAGGCCCCGAGATTGCGGCAGCAATACCTACACGCGCGACTCATCCGCATCGGATTCCGCCAGCTACCGCACGACCAGGGCATGTACCGGCTCACGAAAGGCATCGACTACATCCTGCTGATCGTCTACGTGGACGACCTACTCTACATCGGCTCGACCAATGGCATCACAACTTGGTTCGAAGGGGAGCTGCAGCGGGACTTACGCTCACCGTCTCATCCACCGTAACACAATACCTCGGATTCAACGTTCAAGAAGAAGAGAACGCGATCTACCTCAGCGCCGCGAAATACGCCGACACCATCGCCAAGCGCTTCGGACTCACCCCAACCACTATCTCCACGCCATATCGCTACACCGCCGGAAATCACAAGGAAGCCTCCGCTCCGCTCAAGCCCGCCGGCATACGCGACTACCAGCGAAAGCTGGGATGTCTCCTTTTCGCAGCCGTTACCTGTCGACCAGATCTATCGTACTTAGCGAGCCAACTCGCCACCTACCTTAAGAAGCCTGAAGCAGAACACATGGCAGAGCTCGACCGCGCGCTTCACTACCTCGTCAGCACCCCGACGATCGGTCTAACCTACCACAAGACCGGAACCTCAATGCCCAAGCTAATCGGCTACGTCGATGCTGACCACGCCGGCGACTCTGACAGCAGGCGCTCACGGACCGGCTACATCTACCGACTCGAGCCTATTGGACCTATCTCGTGGCAGTCGAGCAAGCAGGAACTAATCGCTCTCTCCTCAGCTGAAGCAGAATATATCGCACTCTGCTCAGCCACCAAGGAAGGATTGTTTTCTTCGCGAACTGCTGGAAGAAGCGAAGCTAGCCCAGTTACCCAGCTTTTCCCTGTTCTGCGACAACCAGTCAGCAATTCGCATCGCCAACATGAATGGATTCGCGAACAGAACAAAGCACATCGCCCTGCGATATTTCTTCGTGAAGGACGAGATCGAGAAGGGAAGACTCGAGCTGTCCTACTGTCCCACGTCCGAGACGGCAGCCGATTACTTGACCAAGAAGCTCGGAAAACAAAAGTTCGAGTACTGCATGCTGCTGACTGGACAAAGCCATGTCACCAGCAGCAACACTCCAGAAGCGAAGGGGAGTGTTGGAAACAAGTGACTTCAGCGCTTCTGATGTGTCGAAACACTGAACTGCAAGTGAAGCAAACTACAACGAAGCAACGGCGAGTCAACCATCGGAAGTTGACATAAAATGTAACTGCTGGAGGTTACGCGAAGGTCAAAGGTCGCTGACCTTTGACTTGACAAATACAGCGCGACAGCAAGGACAAACAATTAACTCGCTATTGAGCAGTTGCCCGAGTCACTGTATCAAACCGCAACAGAAACAGTAAAACAGGTTTTAGTTGCACTCTTTCATATTCCTTGTAATCTTATATAAGGTTTGTACTACTTTTCTATAATCAATCTATCTTGCCCTCACATACTAGCGCAAGGTGGTTCAACACTTGTCATTAAAACGCTTCTGCAACTACAAACACTTCTATTCTGAGTTAAGCCTTGCAAAGATCCTAAACAGGCTAGGCTACCCACTAGAGCCTACAAAAAGTCTATATAGTTTGACAGCCAGTTGCAGTTGCCAGCCATTACGGTAATGTTGTACACATCAGTTGCATATGTGTCCTCTGAACGCACTTTAGACGCATTTCAGCCGTGGCTGGCAAGTTCCGTCTGAGCCTTGTACACAATACAATTCAGCTACTCTAAAACAATCGAGGTACAACACTATAAGGCTTAAAACAATTCCTACAACTCACACTAATATCCAGGTTTTCCAAAATAACTATAATCATAATCAGAGTCCCTAAAACCATAATATAAGCCCTGTGTGGCAATGATGTTGTCGCGGAAGAAGCTCTGAGTCTGAGACGCGCCAGAATCCAGTGCGAAAGAGAGCGACGCTTCAGCTGTAGGAACTGTCAAAACATATTGTTATGTTCTTACTCTAGGTTGTGTAGGGTCACACCTTAGAGGGTACAACCCAACTCTCTCGACACTCTTGTACCCCCTCTCCCTCACCTAATCATCATTCCTCACCTAGCTACTAGTGATTCTAACATGGTATTAAGAGCACAATGCTCCTTAGGACCGAATGTTTAAAAGGGCCCACCACTACTATTTCGATCTACTGCCCGAGTCGCGCCCCTAGGAGAAACGCGAAATTCGAAACCGTGCTCTAGGCGAGACGGTTCCTTTTTCTTCCCTAGACGCGATTTTCCTTCCTAGTCACGTGCGACCCCCCCTGACCGCGCCTTAGCTGCCAGTACAGCCCGCGTAGGCCCGTCGCGAAGCCCGTACAGCCCGCGTAGGCCCGTCGCGAAGCCCGTACAGCCCGCGTAGGCCCGTCGCGAAGCCCGTACAGCCTGCGCCAGGCCGTCGCGCAGCCCGTACAGCCCACGTCAGGCCCGCACCCAGCTCGTAAAGCCCGCGCCAGGCCCGCACGCAGCCCTTACAGCCCGCGCCTGGCCCGCACGCGGCCCGTGTTACTGCTGCACTCGCTGCTGCTGCTACACTGCTGCGCCTGAACTGCTGCTGCAGTGCTGCTGCCGCCTGTACTGCCCTGAAACTGCTGCTGCTACTTGCTGCAGCTGCTCCTCCTTGCTGCTGCTGCTGCTGCTACTTGCTGCAGCTGCTCCTCCTTGCTACTGCTGCTACAGCTAGCGCTACTCAGTGCTGCTGCTACTGAAGCTAGTGCTGCTACAGCTAGTGCTACTGCTGCTGCTGCTACTACCGCACTTGCTACAGCTGCTACTGACTGAAGCTACGGCTGCTACAGCTAGTGCTACTGCTGCAGCTCCTACTCCAACACTTGCTACAGCTACTATTGACTGAAGCTACTCCAGCTACAGCTAGTGCTACTGCTGCAGCTCCTACTCCAGCACTTACTGCAGCTGCTCCTGACTGAAGTTACTGCTGCTACAGCTAGTGCTACTCGGTCTACTGCTGCTGCTGCTGCTGCTGCTCGGTCTGCTGCTGCTGCCCGAGCCGCCCTGCTACTGCTGCTACTGGAGGGAGTACTGCTGGGAGTGGTGGAGGTGCGGCCTCCCACCCCCACCGAACCGCCCTGCTGCTGTTACTACTGCTGCTGCTGCTACTTGTGCTACTGGGAGTGGAGGAGGTGCTGCTGGGAGTGTAGGAGGTGCTGCTGGCGCTGTAGGAGCTGGAGGTGCTGGACCTACTCCTGACAGTCACTGTCTGTCATGGCCACTTCCGCGGCAGTCGCTGCGGCCAGGGATGGACAGCAGCGGGCACTGCTTCTCCCGGACGACCCCACCCCTCGGCAGCTTCGTGAGTGGGTTATTCAGCGAGGTCGTCCTGGTGGTGGAGGTTATCGTTCTGTTAAGACCGCTGCTCTTGGTGTTAGTGAGTCTGCTACCACTCCAGGTGTTAGTCAGTC